TTGCACGAATTCCATTTTGCTGCATGTAGATTTCATAAAAAGCAAAGCGTAGACAGGCCAACTTGAGAACAATATTAATTGTGAGTTTAGGTTGAATTGAGTATAATAGGCTTGAAAATAAAGAAAAATAAGAATTTAGATTTAAAATCCCAAAAATTATAACACTTCATTACCCAATTTTCACGCAGAAAAGTCATGTCAAATTTTTCATTTTTGTGTTCAAAAGATCAGAGTTTTATGCCTTTATTTTTTTTTCTCCGATTAAGGTAAAACTCGGTAGGAATATTGGTTTTGTTATAATTATTGGCATGTTAAAGAAAAATGAACGGTTTGAAAAATGTTCTTGCCGAAAACATGAGTATTGTCACCACCGCAATGACTTCAAAAAGTGTAGCCATCTTGTCACACCGGAAAAACGGTGAAAAATTATTTCTATTTAGGTTTCCATCGGATGTATTTCAAAAAAGCATGGTTTTATCATAGAAAATAGATATTGGTACTAAAAGTACATCAGTTTTTTTCTATTTTAGATAAAATAATTGATAACGTTTTTCGTTAGGAAACAAGATTTTCAGTTCGTATAAAAAAGTATTGCCGTTTTTGGCACAACTTCCGCAAAACGTAATTAATGTCATGCTGGTGTACTAAAATCTATATTGTGATTCTTTGTTTCTAGAAAAATCGAATAAAAGTATGAAATATAAGTTGTAGAATATAATAAGCCACGTATAAGAACAACAAATTATAGTTCAGCAAATGAGATTTAAAAAAAGAATAGAAAAAAAAACCCATGGCTAATTAAATTATAACAAACAAAAAGACATACATAATACCATAAAAAGACGGAAATTTAAGACGCCCGACTCTAAAGTATTTGCTAGCCCAGATATATTGCAACAAAGAAAATATCACGAAATGATATATTTGGAAATGAATGGAAACTGAAACAAATGCAATGAAAGGAGTATTCCAAACTGAAGTCGGCAAAAAAATTGTAATTCTATATTTAATTTATATTTAAAAAAAAAACTTCTGCGTACATTTAATTTTTTAAATTAATATATCCATTGATTTATGCGAACCGCTCAGTGGCAAAAAGAACAAAAAATTATTATGAAACTGAAAAGCTGACAATTTCTGTAAATGCAATATTCATTAAACAAATATTTATGCCACCACTTTTGAATTACATATGTAACTAGATACGCCCTCAGAGGTCCAACCCTGAAAAGTTGGGGCAAAAATGGACACAATATTCAAGCTTGATACAAGTCTGAATTTGGATTGTAATTAAATATTTGACATATTATAGGTTTCTGAATAAATGAAGTCAAAGAACTTGAAATTAGTTATATGAATTGAATTTATATTCAATTAAAGATTTCTTTCTGTTGTGCAATACACTGTGCTGTTGCGCAATACTAGTAAATCTGTTGTCAGACTATAAACAAATAAAGTTCAATAACTTCTCAATGTTATATTAGAAATTTATAAAAAAAAACTAAAGGGAGGTTATCTTAAATAGATATAAATCAGTCATCAAAGTTTAATGAAAACTGCTCTAAGCACTTTAAGGATATTGTCCAAAAACTTGAAAATCACCCCTTTTTTATGAATAAAATCTTGTAACTCGGAAACATAAAATCTAAAATTTATAAAAATCAAAAGGGAGCTTACAACAATAGATATAAACAATTTACCAAAGTTTCATAAAAAATGCTGAAAGCATTTTTGAGTAATTGTCCGAAAACTGGAAAATCCCCCTTTTTGTAACGAATAAAACCCCATAAATCAGAAACGTATAGTCTAAAATTTATAAAAATCAAAAGGGAGCTCATGTCGATAGCATTAAACAATTTACCAAAGTTTCTTGCAAATTGTTGAAATTGTTTTTGAGTTATTGTCCGAAAACTGGAAAATCCCCCCTTTTTTAATGAATAAAACTCCAAAATTCGGAAACGGTAAATCCGAAATTTATAAAAAACGAAAGGGAGCTCACGTCAATAGATATAAACAATTCACCAAAGTTTCATGCATATTGGTAAAAGCATTTTTGAGTTAATGTCCGACATGTTGACGACGGATGGACGGACAGACGGACGGTCAACGGTATACCATAATACGTCCCGTAAACGGGCGTATAAAAACTGTGCGTTTCCCCCCGACGAACCGAAATCAGGTAAACATATTCATTACGGCTAATCAAAGATAAGCTTGAACACTTGAAACTAGAAATTGATAGTAAATACATCTCATTTCTGGTATATTTGTGTTAATATATCACAACGCGGAAATTATTGAAATTAAAAGAAAATAAAAAGTAAATGGATTTCCGTACTTTGATCTATGATGGTTTACTTTTACAAATTATGACTTGGATGGAGAGTTGTCTCATTGGCACTCGTACCACATCTTCTTATATCTATTGTGACTTGGATGGAGAGTTGTCTCATTGGCCCTCGTACCACATCTTCTTATATCTATTGTGACTTGGAAGGAGAGTTGTCTCATTGGCACTCGTACCACATCTTCTTATATTTATTGTGACTTGGATGGAGAGTTGTCTCATTGGCACTCATACCACATCTTCTTATATCTATTGTGACTTGGATGGAGAGTTGTCTCATTGGCACTCGTACCACATCTTCTTATATCTATTGTGACTTGGGTGGAGAGTTGTCTCATTGGCACTCGTACCACATCTTCTTATATCTATTGTGACTTGGGTGGAGAGTTGTCTCATTGGCACTCGTACCACATCTTCTTATATCTATTGTGACTTGGGTGGAGAGTTGTCTCATTGGCACTCGTACCACATCTTCTTATATCTATTGTGACTTGGGTGGAGAGTTGTCTCATTGGCACTCGTACCACATCTTCTTATATCTATTGTGACTTGGATGGAGAGTTGTCTCATTGGCACTCGTACCACATCTTTTTATATCTATGATGACATGGATGGAGAGTTGTCTCATTGGCACGCGTACCACATCTTCTTATATTTATTTAGAAAAAAGGAGATGGCAAAAAAATTGTCCCTTCCCTAAGTACCTATGGTGGTGGGTGGTGTTTTAACCAACAACATTCATGTAGAACAACAAACACAATACTAACTCTGGAGGGGCATCATATATATATATATATATATATATATATATATATATATATTGTAAAATCGTATGGATAAGAGCAAGAAAACATTATATTGGGACTGGTCATTTGTAACCTGAATGGGGGAAGGGGACTTGAACATTTTTGGGAATGAAAAAGGGGCTATACTGACAAATCTTCAATACTTCAGATAGAGGGAGGGGGAGCACTGAAAATTTTTACAAGATTTGAGAAGTTCAAACATGCAAAAATTATAGATAATTTGATGAATACTCTAAATCAGTATCTGATTATTAAGTAGAAGTGTCTAACACTTGATTCAGACGTCATATCTATATCTCTGTGTCTTATTATTTGGCTTCAAACTTCATTTCAATGTTGTATTCACTGTCTTCACGTAAGACACGAAGAATGACAATAATAGGCAATAATAGTTTGACGTTTTGTAGGTTTTGTAGAAGGTTTTTCTTAATATAATACCCCTTTCCATATAATAAAAACATGCACTGATAATCTTTTAATAGTTATAAAACTCGTGATTGAGCATATATTTCAATGGTTCAAGATATCTAGGAGTCAATTGTGGAATTTTTAATATGAATAATTTTCCGATATGACCTGGAGATGTGGCAATTTGTTAAGATAAAAATCCAAAGTTTCAACATGTTCTTCCAGGAACATATCAAGGATAATTTACTAACTTCTTAGTTTATAAAAGATAGGAACAATGTGCTGAAATTGAGCGAAGGTGTTAAACCGTGTGATAAATGTTAATGGGACCATTACAGGCATTACAGACCGTACTGTGACCTATAATGGTTTACTTTTATAAATTTTTACTTGGATGGAGAGTTGTCTCATTGGCACTCATACCACATCTTCTTATATCTATATATAAATAAACATTCTATATGTGCCTGTCCTAAGTCAGTGGTGGATAGTTGTCTCATTGGCAATCATACCACATCTCTTTATCTTTACATATCTAAATAAAGTTCCATGAAGTCACAAAGTTATTCCCCACTTTAGGCTTTGTTTCCACTACTGATCGATACACTATTTTATTGAATAATGATATCATGAATATAAATAGAAATTGTATGCATTGTGGGGGGGGGGTGAAATTTTTATGTCTTTGGAAGGGGAGTCTTGAATTTATTTTCCTTCTACAAGATGGGGAATTTAAAAAAAATAAAGAGAAATTCAGATGTTTCCTCCCCCCCCCTTTTCCCCCCAATGAAAAAAAAATGACCAATACCAAGGATTTGTATAGTAAGATCTTACTATACAAATCCTTGCCAGTACCTAAGTACGTGAAAAAAAGTTATATTTACTAAATAAAAAAATTAAACACAACAAAAAATATGTATATTATTTTCATGTAGAAAAAGGAGGGTTCATTCCCCCAAGTGCTTCTTGTGCGTAATGCATCATAATTCAACATCAAGTTTGTCTTCCCTCAACTTCAAGTTTATGAGGGCCTGAAAAAAACTTCATTTACTAGTTAATTATGCCTTTTATGTTTTTTTAGTTTCATTTTTTCAACTATTGCACAAATAGAAGAAATAAGCCTCTAGACGTTTCTATTTCTTGCCAGTAGTTACATCAGGTTGGAATAGAAAAACGCTGACGGCTGGGGAAATCCGATGCTCTAAAAATATAACAGCGGATGAATATATTAGAGACGAGTAAAACATTTTTTCAATTTATAACAGAAAATATAAATTATTCACTTAACGATATATCGATATAAGATATGTTCACCAATTTAAAAGTAAAAAAATAGAAAAGGTAACATTATTTTATACTTAAAATATTGATATTCGATCGACATTATCTTGCGGAAAGGCTTCCCGGAAATGTTCTACGGTTATTGTTTACATCGTTGTCAACTTGTTGTGCAATGTTGCTGAGTTGGCTTAATATATAAATTCGGATACAAAAAGTTGAAATAACAGGTAGGATAATCATTGAAAGCAAAGGACACCTAGCACACAACTAGGCCACTTTAACAGAAACAATGCCACGAGGAAGAGGCAGAGGACGTGGCCGTGGAAGGGGGCGTGGTGGACGAAGTGGTCGAGGAAGAAGTGGCAGCAGGCGATCTTTTCAGCAGCCAAAGGATGACAACGAAGTAAAAATAACAGAAGAGTTGGACATAAGTAAAGACGTTAAGAAGTATTTTATTGGAAACGCATCTGTTGCACAACATTATACTGCTCAAAATGAAAACAAACACAAATATGCAGCAGGGATGGTAGCTTTGATGAAAGATGGTGTGACAATTACTCAAAGTAAGTGTACTAGTTTTTTTTTTTACAAGTTCTTCATGATCCAGCCCCAAAAACTGGCCAGCAGGTGTCAGAGCAGTCTCAGACAACCTACATTTGTATATGTATATAATCAGACCTGCCAACTATCTCAGTTAATGAGGGATATCCCCCATGAGAGGTGTTGACCTGCATTTTGAAATTCTTTATTATTTAAACTGAACACCTCAAAACAGGCATTCAAATGAGTTAAAAGGGTATTTAAGCACATATATACTCATTCAAACAATATAGTAGTAGATCAAGAACACTTATGACAATATAAGAGGAGCATTAGGTCCTCTTGCTCTTAAAATCCCCCATGGAGATTTTGAAAAGTTGGCGGGTATGTATAATGTATAATATATGTGGATCAGATGCATCTTTGTAGTATAAATCTCATGTTTCTGGGGTACCAGGATTTCCCAAGAACTCCCAAAAACTTAATGTTGACCCAAGAATCGTTAGATATTAGCGGAAAAGTTTATTTTATATGGTTTTATACTGCTTTAAAAGATATTGAAGTATAGAATTTTGAGATATGAGTCAGTTTTACTCAATAAAAGTACAATTTCACTTCAGGAATTCGATTAGTGTGTCTTGTATACAAGTTCCTTGCATAATAAGAAAAAAGTGTCAAGATAGAATAACCAGAAATGTTTGAGGTCAATTCTGTCTGTTCTGTTGCAACCTTAGTTTTATTGGAATTACATGTACATAGTTTTATGAACTGAAAATTCTTGAAAAAGAGATTTCTTTAAATAATCCTAAATCTGAAGTACTGGCTAGAAGTGCCAACTGGGGGGCATGGCCATGGTACTACTCAGAGCAGTGGTACCGACATTAACTGACATTTATAACTTGTTACCTTTATATTTGTAATAGATGCCAGAGTAAGAGGTTTAACAGCTGCATGGGCTAGACATGATTTTGATATGGCTAATGCCTTGTTATCAAACAGGGAAAATTTTGGTCTGCCAGAAATTTTGAAGGCATTAGAGTTACTAGATGCTGGAAGGCAAGTCAGAATTCTTGAAAAGAGGATGAAAATGCTTCAGGTCTCAAAGAACAAGGTGAATCCAAAGACCATTGGGAAGCTAAAGTCTGACATTGATAACCTAAATGCCAAGAAGTCACCAGTAAGTTTTTTATACAATCGCACAAAATTTTGCGGTCGTACATGTATATTGGTATCACATCGTCGTCTGTGTCGTCCAGGACATTTAATATCCGGACAATAACGTTAGTATACATGTATGTACATAGAAATCTATGAAATTTAAACACAAGGTTTATAACCACAAAAGGAAGGTTGGGATTGATTTTGGGGGTTATGGTGCTAACAGTTTAGGAATTAGGGGCCAAAAATGGGCCCAAATAAGCATTTTTCTAGTTTCCAGACAATAACTTGTGGAAAGGTGTATGGATCTCTCTGAAATTAGACCAAAAGTTTCAATACCTCAAAGCGTTGGCTTTGGGGGGTTATGGCTCAAACAGTTTAGGAATAAGGGGCAAAAAAGGGGGAAAAACAAGGGTTTCCTGGTTAATGGACAATTACTTAAAAGTACAATGTTATGTTTGGATTACCTCCCTTACACTGCTTTTAAATTATGTATAAAGAAATGTTGTATTGTCTTGAGGTTTAGCTGTCAATTTATTTTTAGAAGTTACCATTAAAAATGCTGAGTAAGGAATATTAATTTTAGCCATAATTATGTATGTCATTTTCTATTTTAAGACTTTTATGATGTATTTAAATGGGTAATTATGGTTGCAAACTCCATTGAAAATTTGAATTGAGAGTTTGACCATATCTTGAGGGAAAGATTTTTTTTTTTGAAAAAGGGGGGAGGGGAAAAAATTGTGGGGTGTGGGGTGGTGGTAAAAAAGAAATTGTGGGGGGGGGGGACAATTTTTTCTCATTTCAGATTTCAGAAATTAGTCAGATTTTAAGAACAAAGGGAAACTGTATAAATACTAAAATTTAACAGATGACTAAAAATATTAGTATTTTGAAGACCCAGTTTTTCTCAAAAAGTTATAAGTGATTAAAACATAATGAAATTTAAGATAAAATAAGGAGATGTGTATGGTTGCCAATGAGACAACAATCCACCAAAGAAAAAATTACAAGCTAAGGATGTGAACCACTATAGGTCACTGTACAGCCTTTAACTATAAGTAATTAAAACATACGCCATAAATGGGCCCGAGATGTCAAGGTGGGATACAATACAAAAGAGAAAACAAACATTCTGATTTATACTAAATCAACATACATGTACCAAGTATGGCAGACAGCAACCAATGACAACTATGGGCACTTGATTACATACTGTAAATTCAGAAATTATTGCAAGGTTTTTATTAATGCGAATAATGCTACTGGATGGGTATTGCAATAATAAGAACTCGCTTTCTAATAACTTCAACATAGATCTGTATGCATATATTTTCGAAATTGCAATATTTAAACCTGCATTTTTGTCCATTCTTGAAAAATCGCAATAATAAATGCAAGCAACGATTTCTGAATTTACAGTACTCCTGGCTTGAGAAATACACATAGAGAATGTGTATTGGATAAACATGTACAGTACATTATAATTATCTATAAAGATTATTCTTTATATTATAGATAATTATAATACATGTACATGTATACAGTATATTTGATCCTGTATTATAGCTATATATAGATTTCTAGACTATGCTCTGAATTTTTACTAATGTGGAGTTAATATTATTTACGTATAATTTTTATGATAATAATATTTATAATATTAAATGTAAATAATTTCAGCATGGATCAGCAAGCGGGGCAGTATGTAAACACATCAGACAGTGGACCAGAACATTTACAAAAGAGGAACTAGAATTCTTCACTGTTTTCCTACCCAAAGAACCATGGAAGAAATTAGCTGATATTTGTCATTTCCACCCAGAAAAGGTAGCTTAATGTCACTTTCAAGAATTGAGAAAGCTTATATATTATAATTTTCACAGTCATAGACACTTTACAGCAAAAAAATATTTTTTGACAATGGGAGATAATTTTAGATTTATAACAAGGGAGGTAACTTTTGCTTTATAACAACTTGAATTAGTTAATGAATTCAAAATCATTCCAACCATTTAAAACTATATTTTTATAAGGGTCAACAGAAGTTCTCAAAAGGTACGTAAAGAGGGTCCAATATAAACAATTACTGCAAAAGAAGTTCTCTTTGAGTTGAAAGTTAGAAAGTAGCAACTATTTTTAAATCAACTAAAAAAAATTGATTATTTCAGGATTTCCCAAACCTTCCTTGGTTCCTGAGATTCTGTTATGGAGATGAACCACCATCTGATACCATGGCTTACCAGTGTAAAGCTCTATCAGCAGAAAATATCAATGAAATAGTAAAAGAATATCCTGTACCCTATAGCCAAGTAAAACAGTATAAAGACAAGCTGACCAGTGAAACAAAGGGTAGAATTGCAGAGTACGAAACGAAATTAGATACAGTTTTATGGTAAGATATCACAGTATACTATTCAAATCATTGAAATTATAGTCAGGGGGATAGGTATTCCTAAAACTAGAAAACCTGACGACACGTTGATATACTCATTCAAAGTCTAAGGAATCTTGACAAAGGCTGTTTTTTTTTCATTTAGGCATTTAATTTTGTATTTATTAAGGCACAAATATATCCTGGATACATTATTTCCACCATTTCATGAACCCCTGAATAAGCGAGATGCTTTTTGATTACACTAGCTAAGTCCTATAAATCATCAAGATTATCCTCTGGCTGTCAAAAATTATTCTAAGGATGTCCATTAGGTTGAAAAAAAATTGTTATATAAATTTTTATAAATTGAAAAATTATGTGTACTAAGAAACTGAGGTTACAACTTCCTCAGGCAAAGTTGACCATAGATGAATTTGGCTATAATTTTATGTCCCTTGCAGTCTTAGTATAAGCTCATTGTGCATTCCTATGTATTTATACATCCCTGTTTTTTTAGTGTTTGTTAAAAGAGTTCCTGATGAAAATGAATCCAGATAACACTTTAGACGCACAAAATCTATAAATTCATTTTATATTTATACATTGAGTAGAACATACATGTATATGCTTCAGTCAATTATCACATTACATTCTATATGTTTAAATGTGTTACAAATAGTGTGTTTTTTTCATTTAAAAGGTGGTATGAAGATTTACAGTGTGCAGATGTAGATAAATTACTAGAAGAAAGAATATCTAAGGGAGAAAAGATAAATCTGCCAGATGGAAAGTTTATAGAAAGAATGTTAACCATCCAGAGCATCAGAGAGAGTGACCAATCAAAAGCTCCCTTTTATAGACATCTGCTTCCAATTGGTCAGGAGAGATTGGATGCTTTGAGGTAAATACTTATAGTTTTAATTAAAAAAAATAGCAGAAGTTTTTGTTGCATATAATTGGTACGAAAGTAAATACTTAAAGTAATAATAATTTGATATTTAGCTACTATTGGTTTGTAGAATACTTAATTAAAATTTCTAGAAAATAAAGGTTATCCAGGTCAAATACAGGAAATAAGGGCATCATAACCATAAAACGTCAACTGATTTCTTTAAAAAAGGGTTGTAAATGAAAATATAACCTGTTATCTTCAGCTACGTTGGAAAAACATTTGAAACAGTATCCTTTCCTATGTGGCTTCTTCTCAAATATGTATTTGGCCTCTTGTGTAACATTATTAATGAAGATTGCTAAATTGTCAATCATTGCATTGATGACATACTGTGGATTCATTATTTTTCGTGGGGTACCAATTTTCGTTGATTTCGTGGGTATAGGTGAACCACGAATTTCAAGGTTCGACGAAGTATAAATTTCTAAAGGCTTGTATGCAGACTTTGGCAAAACCACGAAATCAAATGGCCACGAAAATATTATATTTCCTCAATCCACGAAAATTGATACCCACGAAAACAAATGAATCCACAGTATATAGATTCTACCACTGCATCGAGTGTGATACGATAATTATCCACTCGAGACAGTTAAATTTTCAAATTTAAAAAGCAAGACTCGATGAGCGTTTTAAATATTTAAAATTTAACTGTCGAGAGTGGATAAATATCGTATTACACAAGATTTGGTGGTGGAATCTGTTTCTCTAATGGTTTTCAAACAATATGCAGGCAAACTTATTCTGTCTTTTAGAATGATCTGTAAAAAGATGTGTTCTTTCTATGTGACGTCATCAGGCATGGTCGCCTTTTTTCATGCCGTCACAATAGGAAATTCAGAGGAAAGCAAGTAAATTAGACGTCATAATCGGATTTTAACCAATGAAGAACTCAGAGATCAAACAAACCACACGTTGATTAAATTTTTTTATACAATGGGTGCAGAAAGGGATAAATTGACGAAGAATTAGAGAAACATATTTTAATTTGCTAGTTACATTCCTTATATTCTATTTTGTAGTTTACCATTAGATACACCCATAGCAGTAATTGGTGATGCCTCTTCCTCTATGCAGGTGGCAATTAAAACAAGTTCTATCATAGCCGGACTTCTCAGTGCAATAACACAAGCTAAATTGTCATTCTTCAACACAAAAGTCATCACACCGGACAAAAACCCAGAGAGTATAGAAGAAGTAAGTTTAGTGTACAAATGTAGTTATCTCCCTTGTTGTCTAGGTGATTGCTACCAATTATGACAAGTTACTGGATATAGTAGCCATAGTCTGTATATTTAGATATTTTTGCATGCATTTATTATTATGGACAAAAATGCAAGAGTTATTATTGCAATTTCAGAATAGTGATGAAAGTGGTGTTAAACACCAATCAATCAATCAATCAATCATACAAATAATGCTATTAAAATCTAAATTGTGAGGTTTTTTGGGGGCTAAGCATATTGCGTCACATGCTTCTCAAGCAAAAAAGCATCAAAAAATATTTCTAAATTAACAGTTCTGTTAGGGAATTCTGTCACTAAAATTTGCACACACATTTAGTGCAAAAATGTCCTGGAAAATTCTGTTAAAATGACTAATGTAACGAATAGATTTGACAGCAAATTATTAGGTTTAATTTGTTTGCTTATTTATGGTACTCTGTAGTTAAACTAATATTATTAAAAGAAGTTAATGTGGAAAACTTAGAATAAGACAGCCATAAAAATAATTAACATCTCTTGGCTATATGCAATGTGGCTCTGAAGAGCAACGGAAGAAACGATTAAAACCATGATTATTGTGAAAATTGGTATCCGTGAATTATAATGAATCCACAGTAATCAAAGTTATGTGTTTTCCCCAGGTATTGAGGTTAGCAGTTGACATCAAAGCAGAATCATCCACCAACCCAGGTGTATGTTTAGATCCTTACTACAAGGCAAAAGAAGTTATAAAGACTATTATAATGGTAACTGATGAAGAAGAAAATACTTATGTTGAAAATCAGAGGTAAATAAACTCTAAATTTGTGTTTTCCTTTAACAGACATGATAGCTCTATGAATAAATGAACAATTTGTTCTTGTGTTGTGCTGTTGCAGGTTTGAGGGGTACCTGTTTGACCTCTCTGCCCATCCATCAGTCCGGCAAATCAGTTTTCCACACTTTTTTTGCCACCACCGTAGCGGGGGGGGGGCATTTAGTTTTACCCTTGTCTGTCTGTACGTCTGTACATACATCCGTACGTCTGTACGTATGTACGTTCCATAGTTGGTTTCAGTTCTCTAACTTTAGTTTGACTTAAACAAATGTTGTGAAACTGATACATAATGCTTATTACCACAAAACACAGATCAACTTTGAATTTTAGTGGCATCACTTTAACCATTCTAGAATTATGCCCCTTTACAAATGGAAAAATTGCTGAATTTTTCGTTTCCGTTCTCTAACTTTAGTTTGCCTCAACCAAATGTAATGAAACTTATACACAATGCTTATTACCACAAAATACAGATCAAGTTTGAATTTTGGTGGTGTCACTTTAACCGTTCTAGAGTTATGCTCCTTTACAAATGGAAAAATTGCTGAATTTTTCGTTTCCGTTCATTAACTTTAGTTTGCCTCAACCAAATTTGATGAAACTTATACACAATACGTACTACTACAAAACTCAGATCAAGTACAAATTTTGGTAGCGTCACTTTTACTGTTCTTCAGTTATGTCCCTTTGTAACTTAATATGATATGCAAGCGGGGGCATCATCTGTGTCCCATGGACACATTCCTCATTTATTTCTTCGTGCTTGAAAATATTGATTTGATATTTGGTATATTGTTTTACTATGACAAGTTACAGATCAAGTTGGATTTTGTTCCAGTCTGATGATTTTGTGCAGAGTTATGGTCCTTGCACTTAGAAAGTTCACTTAAATAATCAGATTTCCATACTTTTTTTCGTCATGCTTGAAGTTATTGACTTGAAATTTGTTATATAGTTTACACCATGACTAGTTATGGATCAAGTTAGCATTTAATTCCAGTACAAAGAAATTTTAACCAGTAAGGGACTATGTATTGTCATGCAATACTCTCAGAATGCTTGTTTAATCCATATTGTATGAGGTTCAAGATTTGGTTTGCACATGTTCATAATGATGTGAACTTTTTTAGAAAACTTTATTTTTGACCAGAATTTGCGGTGACCTGAACGTGGAAATGTGAAAGTGCAAGGGGTGTTCTAAATTGACATACCAACCACCTAAAGTTCTGATTATTTATCATTTAACTTTCATTGTAGGTTTGCTGAACTGTATGAGAAATACTACAAAGAAGTTTATCCAGCAAAGATTGTATTCGTTTCATTCTTGCATCAGCAACACTCAGATGGACAGATGGTCAGAGAATTAAAAAACAAAGGTTTCGAACCAATGCAGTTCAAATTCCACCGACAACAGCCCGATTTAACAAAATTAGATAGATTGTTTGGACTCATGTCCTCCGAAACGGAAACATTTGACGAGGAAGTTGATAAATTAGAAACCAAATTTAAACTTGAGGGTATTGGTCAGTTATTTGAAGGTATAAAGATGACCAGCACAGGACAATAATTTTTTTTTTTATCAGTTGCATAATTTTATTTTCTTAATTGTTTCAACACTTTAAAAAATATTTTGGAAGCAATACTTATGGTTTTATATATTCATAAAACTTTCTTTTTTTTTCATGATAGTTTGTAGCTTATGTTTCTTGTTCCGTAATTAATTCTTTTGTGATTTTAGAATTTATCTCAGAGCATTATTTAACATAAGATTTATGTAAAGGTTGTCACCTGCTAACTGTTAAAGGTTGGGAGTTTTTTTGTTAATTATTTATTTACTGTGATACATTTACCAATTGATTTTTATTATCAATGTTATGTAAGTTGATAATTTATTGTCATTTATTGTTATTTTTTTATGGTTATGAATGAACAGTTAAACTATGACATAGTAGTGATTTCTTTATAAAATGTTAAACCATGACATAAAAGTGATTTCTTTATAAAATGTTAAACCATGACATAATTGTGATTTCTTTATAAAATGTTAAACCATGACTTAATAGTGATTTCTTTATAAAATGTTAAAGAGGGCTGGGGTAAAGGATTTACAATGTGTATGCCGTTTTACTTGATGTTTTCATGCTTGACCTGGTTTTCTGTTGTTCATCTATTCGTTTAATTTCAACTTACTAATAATTTAACCCTTGGTTATTTTTTGTTGTTCAGCCTGTGGTGAAATTAAACTCTTTGTTAAATTCCTGATTCCTCAGATTCAACCTTGCTGTGGACCCAAGTTAGAAAATTTGACCAAGGAATATTGAATAAAGAAAGATTCTTTGTTCATTAAGTGTCAGTCTTTGTAAGAATCAGACAATTTAGAAGAATTTCAAAACATGGTAAAACAAAACTTGCTGACCTAACCATCCTATTTTAAAGTTAACCTCATCTTGAGTTAGAAATGGTAGGTCTTTTGTTTCTGTGTGTCTGGTAATTCGAGAAATCTATAGATAACTTTTGGTTAGAATGATAGCAAATTACAGAGTTAGCTCCCCTGAAGTGGTAATTTCTAATACATTTCAACCAAATTATATCTTGAGATACCAGAACTGGAAAACCAAACAAATGTTATATTCTTGCACCATTATACATTACTGGAATTACTGTAAACTTGAGTGGTTTTTGTTTGTCATGTTTTCACCACTGCCTGATTCTTAGGCAGATTGCCACTTTAAAAAAAGTCCTAGCTTGATAGTCAAGGACATCAATAATTTTCATACGGCTGTTGTTCATTTTTTATGCGACCACCATCAATCAAGCCTCTTTTTAAACCCTGTCACCTTCTATGCCCATACAAATATTTCTGCAGCTAAATTTATCCTGTTAAGTAAGACCATGTATTAATCTGTAATCTTGTACAATTCAACTATTGTTTCTTTTCAAAGCAGAAAGTGTTCTCTGTCTAGGTAGCATTGAAGTTGTACTAAATAATGAACTTTGACAGTGACAAAGGTTATGTTTATTCAAATAATCATATTTATCTTCAAACAGTTTTCAGGGATCCAAGAAAAGGGGGTTGATAATTCTCTATTTTGAAAAATATGAATGTTTAGTGAAAACTTAACCATGGATTAACTAAAGGTTAAAAAGAAGTTGAGCAACAGAATTTTAACCCATGTTTATTAAAGTAAGCATTGGTTAGAAGATTTATCAATTGGTTAAGTAAGCATTGGTTAGAAGATTTAATCATAGGTTGTATTTAATCAAAATAGCAACAACCAGGTCCTGCAAGGCTATTTGTTGCCATGTTTCATGTAAAATGATAAAAATGCACTCTTAAAGCCTTTGAAGTATTTTAATTCACTCTTTTGGTTTACTATTTTTAGCATAATGAAAATGTTGCTTTTCTCCTGAATTGTTCACCGTTTTGTCATCCCAGAGAATTGTTTTCTATTTTGGATTATCTGATTTCAACCCCTTCCACCAAGCCCTTCCAAACACACAAATGCATGACCTTTAGGAAGAAATCTGTTCTATAGTTATAAAATAAGATAGAAAAGATATGGACAGCAATATCAGAGCTGTTTCTTTGCTTTGAGTTTTTGCATGTGTATGGCTGATTTTGTACAAAGAATTACTGGTATTCCCTACTTTTAATTCCCCAAATAATGACTCTTTAAACACTTTCATTTAAAAAGCATTAAAAATTATATGAGTTTGTATCGATCATTTAAAGACATTATCTTACATCACCTGTGCAATAAATCGTTATAAAATATTTTAATTAGTTATTGACATTGCTATGATGATTTTATTTTTTATAAAAAAAAATATGATAAAACTGACAGCTGAAATTAATAAAAAAAGTGTTTGTTACATTAACAAGTTTTGCGAATGTAAAATTTGCTTTGCTCATGAAATAATTTTCCATTAATCACTAACACTTTAAAATAGAGATTAGTTGAAACCTACATTTTTGTTATTCATTTTAGTTTTGTTTGATGTATATTTTTAGACACCTGTCAATTTTTTATTGTCCTATTTTGATAACAAATATTTATAATTTTTGGGTTTTATCCAAAACAAATTTATTTGTCATAATTTTTTTGCGATGCACACAATTAGTGAAGGTGTAAAAACAAGAACTTTTAATAAACAAGTTTTAAATTATAATCCAGATGAAATCCCTTTATAATAATATTGTTATTGATATATGATTGAAATAAGATGTGGTATGCTCCAAGACAATGGTAATAGGGGGGTGGGAAGATTTTTTTCTAGAAATCCAGATTTTACCATAAATCAGGATTTACACTTTTCAGAACTCCGAAATTAATGATGCATTTATGTATTTGCATTAGGAAATAATACTTTATATATATATGAATTTTTAGAGTTTTAATTTATTTTTGAATAAACGATTATTTACACCAATGCAATTTCATTATTTATTGATTCATGGTAATATAATTATTTAAGTATTTGGCTCTGAAATTAACCAAGGAATTACATGTACCTCAACAGAACACAATACCAAGTGTGTGCTGACATGTGCATAATTGAAGAGCTAATTATAATTTAAGTTTAGCTCTTATCTCACGTTGGGAGTGCTCTGAAAATTTATAAACTAACTTACAGGTCATACATGTACCTGAACACAACACAATACCACATGTGTATTAACATGTGCGAATTGAAACGCTTAAAATAAGGATTAAACAAAATACTTAATTTCAAGTTATGCAGTATTAATAAATTTATTTCCTTATTTATTAGTATTTGGATGAAATGTCTTCAAACAACCAATGATTGACTCTCATATTGCTGATTTGGTTCATGCATTTTTCAAATGAATGTGTTGGAATGAACTAGATATGAACTAGAGGCTCACCTGACTCTACTTTGGTTTTAGAAATCATGTAAAGATAGATAAAAACCATAACAGATACCCAAATAATGATTGAGGCCAAATTTGGTTTAATATTGGTCCCTTTATTTAATAAAATATCCTGGTGGCCATCTTAAACAGTAAATCGACAACAAAGTAGCAACACTTGGTCAGCACCTCATAAGGAACATTCATGCCATGTTTGGTTTCATTCCATTCAGTGGTACTCTAAAAGAAGACATTTGTATGTATTTCCTGTAGGCTCCTATGTTAAACTAAGTCCCCCCTGGCGGCCATCTTGGATGATGGATGGGCTGCAAAGTAACAACACTTGGTCAGCACTTCATAAGGAACATTCATGCCATGTTTGGTTCCAATCCATTCAGTAGTTTTCTAAAAGAAGACATTTGTATGTATTTCCCATAAGGTCCTCTGTTAAACTAAGTCCCCTGCTGTCCGCCATCTTGGATGATGGACCGACTGCAAAGTAACAACACTTGGTCAGCACCTCATAAGGAACATTCATGCCATGTTTGGTTTCATGCCATTCAGTGGTTCTCTAAAAGAAGACATTTGTATGTATTTCCCATAGGGTCCTATGTTAAACTAAGTCCCCGCTGGCGGCCATCTTGGATGATGGAATGACTGCAAAGTAACAACACTTGGTCAACACCTCATAAGGAACATTCATGCCATGTTTGGTTTCATTCCATTCAGTGGTTCTCTAAAAGAAGACATTTGTTTGTATTTCCCATAGGGTCCTATGTTAAACTAAGTCCCCCGCTGGCGGCCATCTTGGATGATGGATCGGCTGCAAAGTAACAACACTTGGTCAACACCTCATAAGGATCATTCATGCCATGTTTTGTTTCATTCCATTCAGTGGTTCTCTAAAAGAAGACATTTGTATGTATTTCCCTTAGGGTCCTATGTTAAACTAAGTCCCCCGCTGGCTGCCATCTTGGATGATGGACCGACAGCAAAGTAACAACACTTGGTCAGCGCCTCGTATGGAACTTTCATGCCATGTTTAGTTTCATTCCATTCACTGGTTCTCTAAAAGAAGACATTTGTATGTATTTCCCATAGGGTCCTATGTTAAACTAAGTCCCCGCTGACGGCCATCTTGGATGATGGATTGACTGCAAAGTAACTAACAACACTTGGTCAACACCTCATAAGGAACATTCATGCCATGTTTGGTTTCATTCCATTCAGTGGTTCTCTAAAAGAAGACATTTGTATGTATTTCCCATAGGGTCCTATGTTAAACTATGTCCCCGCTGGCGGCCATCTTGGATGATGGATTGACTGCAAAGTAACAACACTTGGTCAACACCTCATAAGGAACATTCATGCCATGTTTGGTTCCATTCCAGTTTGGATATTTCACCATTGTTTTGGTACTATGCATTTGACAACAGTCAGTTGATGTGAAGGGAATAACTTATACTCCTATCTATAGATCTGTATCATTCACAATCTATTATGAAAGAAATATTGATTGATTGTTGTTTGCTGAACACCAATATTTCATGCATGAATGAAAACGGTGTGAGACTTAAAATATCTAATTTTTATTTGAATTATTTGCCACTGGACATTGTATGTATTTCCCATAGGGTCCTGTGTTAAACTAAATCCCCCACTTGCGGCCATCTTGGATGATGGATCGGCTGTAAAGTAACAACACTTGGTCAACACCTCATAAGGAACATTCATGCCATGTTTGGTTTCATTCCATTCAGTGGTTCTCTAAAAGAAGACATTTGTATGTATTTCCCATAGGGTCCTATGTTAAACTAAGTCCCCCGCTGGCGGCCATCTTGGATGAATGACCGACTGCAAAGTGACAACACTTGGTCAGCACCTCATAAGGATCATTCATGCCATGTTTTGTTTCATTCCATTCGGTGGTTCTCTAAAAGAAGACATTTGTATGTATTTCCCATAGGGTCCTATGTTAAACTAAGTCCCCCGCTGGCTGCCATCTTGGATGATGGACCGACAGCAAAGTAACAACACTTGGTCAGCGCCTCGTAAGGAATTTTCATGCCATGTTTAGTTTCATTCCATTCACTGGTTCTCTAAAAGAAGACATTTGTATGTATTGCCCATAGGGTCCTATGTTAAACTAAGTCCCCGCTGACGGCCATCTTGGATGATGGATTGACTGCAAAGTAACAACACTTGGTCAACAGCTCATAAGGAACATGCATGCCATGTTTGGTTTCATTCCATTCAGCGGTTCTCTAAAAGAAGACATTTGTATGTGTTTCCCATAGGGTCCTATGTTAAACTAAGTCCCCGCTGGCGGCCATCTTGGATGATGGATTGACTGCAAAGTAACAACACTTGGTCAACACCTCATAAGGAACATTCATGCCATGTTTGGTTCCATTCCAGTTTGGATATTTCACCATTGTTTTGGTACTATGCATTTGACAACAGTCAGTTGATGTGAAGGGAATAACTTATACTCCTATCTATAGATCTGTATCATTCACAATCTATTATGAAAGAAATATTGATTGATTGTTGTTTGCTGAACACCAATATTTCATGCATGAATGAAAACGGTGTGAGACTTAAAATATCTAATTTATATTTGAAATATTTGCCACTGGATATTGAGCAAACAACAATCGATAGAAATAGGAATGAAACTGACAATTGTTTCCACTTCAATTGGTTTTCATGTAGATATTTTGTCTCGGTGACATTTTGAAATCAAACTTACAACTGGGCTTTTTTTACTTTGCAAACCAATTCTACAAGTTTTAGTTGATTTTTCTGACCTTGTTACCTCTTTTCTGCAATATGAAAAAAAGCTGTATTTGAACATTTAGACCGGGTTGAAGTAAAAAAAAAAGAAAGCTTTAGCCAACATTTAAATAATTTATCATTCTAATTTATATTCAGTCTCTTTGAACTTTTTCTCCATTTTTCGCCAAGACATAAAAAAAAGGTAGACTTCAGAAAGAACTCGAATGACCTTCTTAGCATCCTGATACGAAGATTATTAGTATCATACGATATACACGCCATCTTAAAATTATTACATAATAAAATTTAGTCATGATTGGTTTTTCTGATTGCATATGTCAAGGCGTCAAAATTTAAAACAGATTAACGGACTTCCGTTTCAATTATGTCAGGTAGAGTGAATTGTGTATAGCTTGGCATCCTGGCCCAATCTTAACTTCGGCGATTGATACAACATTAGCAAGCAGTGAACCAGGATCCCAGGATTCAATTGTGTAGTGATGTGAGTAACATTGCATTGCTGGTAATTGAGAAATAATAGCTTTTTCTGAAATAAAACCATTGAAGATTGACATTTAAAGCAATAGCTTTTGTTAAAAGCTTGCATTGAGAAAATTATTAGCTTTTCTAAAAACATTGTAAAAGGACAGTTATAGCTTTTTACTGAAAATTAAGATGACCGTCCAAGGTTTTAAGTTTTTTCGGGATTATGTATTTTATAAACCTAAGGAGTAAATTTCAACATCACTCGCGTTTTTACCTAATTCTCATTTTGGTTCAGATTTGGAACCAAAAACATATTTGTTCTGGATTTCCTATGGGTCACGTTTTTCATCAGGTAAATTAAATTAATCTGCTTTTGTCGGTTTGTATTTGTACGAAAAATTTAAACACTTTCCCCTAGACTCTTGATGAAAAATAGAGTTCTATCATTAAATAATGCATTAGCATATTTCAAACGGTTAGACTACAGGGTTTTAAACTCACACAACTCACTTGCGACACGTTTTTGCAGTCTCAGATCTTTAGATACCAGAAAAGTCGTCCAATCTGTAATTTAACCGATTGCGTCCTATTTCAGATTTTGACATTTTGACTGAATGTGGATTCCCATGGCGGGTGGTGCATACATGAAAGCAGGATATGATTACCCTGTCGACACACCTGGTCTCGCTCCTTTTTGAGTCCATGCGATTCCTACAGTGTTTGTATAATACTTTGATTTTTTCTTTCTTAATCGATTCATGAGATAAGAAAATCGGTCAACTACTGCTGCCTTAATTCAACTTTGAAAACTAGAAGTCAAAAACACACAAAAAAATCCAGAAAGAAAATCTGTTGTACATATAATGTTTACCTGGATTCTATATTCTGTATTGAATTTTAGTATCAATAGACAGCCCCAAGTTAAAAGAAAAATGTTTGTATCTCCTTTACAAAAGTCATAAACCTATACCAGAACCTGCCATAATGCACTCATAACATTTTTTATTCATGCTAAAATCAGACGGGCTTTTTAAAAAGCTTAAACTTGTGATGTTGCTAAGATTATAGAATTGGGAATACGATACGGAAAAGAGAAGAAATTTAATACGGAAGTTAGGAATTTGGATTGAATAATAAACTAACAGTATGGTATTCAAGACCCATCAATGAATTATATTGCGGAAGGATCGCGTCAGATACACATTGTTGGATAAGTACTCATCGGATACTGTAGTTTATTGTAAACCAACTAATTTTCGCGAGCGATTTATTTTCGCGACTTTCGTGAGTAGAA